CTCAAAGGTGCGTCCTTTCTGCGATTCTATTTTCGTTTTTTACTTCAGATTACAAAACTTTGGGTAATGCAACTTCAATAATCAAATACGCGGATGACAGAGTAATTTTAGGGTAGCTATAGCTACATGGATCTGATGTATCACCATATGTCCAAGAGGTAAACAGATTTGTGGACTGGTGTGAACAAAATTATCTTCAGCTTAACATGAGTAAAACCAAAGAAATTGTTTTCGACAATAGGAAGAAAATCTGTAGCCATAATGAGCTTTCTATTAAAGGAGAACAAATAGAACAAGTCAACGAACAAAAATATCTCGGAACCATAATTGATAAAAATCTCAAGTTTATTTCTCAAACTAATACAGTTTTTAAAAAATCTAACCAACGTTTGTATTTTCTGAGCAAATTGAAACAATATAATGAAAACAATACAATTCTTATGACGTTTTATAGATGTGTCATTCAGAGTGTGCTATTGTAAATCTCATTACATTATTTGCGGGGCTGTCATGTGAAAATAAAAAACAATTAGAGTTAATTAGGAAACGTGCTGGCAAAATTATTTGTGCTGACCTATCAACTATAATGATATCTATGAAGGAAGGGTTTAAAAAAATTAAACTGATCATCGATGACCCTACACACCCACTAAATAAGTACTATGTTTTTAATAGATCATGAATTAGACTGCGCCCACCTAAAGGAAATCACGATCGTTTTAGAAAATCTTTTGTGCTAAATTCTTGCCACCTATACAACTCGCTTGTTAAAAGATAAATCTTAACTGAGTTTGTTGATCTGTATTTTTTGTAACGACTGTAAAAGTTGCTATTTTAAACTTAAATAATGTACGCTTTTAGGAATAAATATATTTTAATATTTAATTAATACTACTTATTTTTGTAAAACTAGATTCTGTTTTTGACTTTTGTGATTTTGTAGTTTTGAGCTTGTCAACAAAACAAATTTCCCTTTTTTGGACTTTTTTTGGAAGTTTCTGTATTCTGTATTTAGATGATACCATTATGTCAGGAGTTCCATCTTGACCATATTTCCCCAATATTTTCCCCCAATAATTGCATTTGTTACTAGACAAAATAATTTTGTTTTTAGTTTCAATTATTTACACATATTTCATTTTAGCAGAGAGAAAAACATTTAGTAGGGGAAAATCAGAAACATAGGACTGTATCAAATTCGGGATAAGTAGCAGATTCAATAGCACCTTTTTGGCAATAGGTACCAAGAGACTGTTGTAAAACATTTACTGAATATTTTATGACAGCAGTGGACTAAAGCTAAAAATTTATTTGTAAGCACAGCTTTTTCAAAGATAATTCATTTAAGAAACTTTTTATTTATTTGGATAAATTTAATAAATTACATCTGTTATAATTTTGAAGCTCAATTTTTCAAATTAAAGTGTATTTAAAAACTAATCTGTTTGATATTATTTTTAAATGTTGTCTTGGATTAGATATCATTTTTTCAGTTGGTACTTCAATAAAGATGGTCTCGGCCTCGAATTAGAGGTGTCTCCAGTGGTTACGCCAGAGAGAGGGGCTGGGGCTATAGCCACCCCTCCCCTCGTCGAGGAAGCATAGCAACCCCCTCCCCACCCTCCACTTTCGGGAAAGACGAGTAAATGTGTCGTGGAATAAACAATTTACATGTAATGTTCGTTTGGCCACCATATTGTTTTCATTAAACTATTTGTGTTAACTTTCATCACAACAACTACAACAACAAATAATAATGATAATAATAATAATAATAATAATAAGAGTTCAATAAGACTAATTAAAACAATGCTCGTTTGGAATAGCCGCATGATGCCTAGAATACATTGTGAAAGGTGAAGCAACGCGACCATGACAGCGTGGTTGACAGATTTCATGCAAAATTTCCAAAATGAAGAATTGCACTTTCAAGAATAAGGATTTGAAAATAAATTAGATGATTACATTGTATCCTTTTTGTTTCATATGTTTTATTCAAAATGTTTTGGTTTTGGAAGCTGATTTCGACATTAGAATAGGCCATCAGCCCCCACCGGAGGCCATAAGCGGCCTCCTGGCCCCCATCCAAGTGAGACTCGATTCGCTCCACTAGCACTTCCCCCCCCCGCCCCGTCGGAGCCCTTAGCCCTTCCGTAGGGCAGGTCCTGGCGTCATCACTGGGGGTCTCATAATTAGAAGGTAAGCTCAGTACAGTACTAAAAGGTAGGTTGGTAGTTGGTACTTTGAAAAAGTGGTCTCAAATTGGAGGGGTCTTGAATTGGAAGGAAGACTGTATCAGGAAATTCAATTGGAAGATGTGTATAAGAGACAGGGCTGGGGCTATAGCCACCCCTCCCCTCGTCGTGGAAGCATAGCAACCAACCCCCTCCCAGATGTGTATAAGAGACAGGGTACGTCTAGGATGTACTAAAAAAGGATAGATCAATATATTATTAGCCAACAGAATAAGGGCATAATATAATCATTGGCTGTCTCTTATA